CGGGAGATTCGATAGAAGTACAATTCCAACAAAATTAGCTTGTTTTTTCATTTCACGTCAAATGTTTCTGCTTCTAGTTTTCTAATAATAATAACTGAAAATTATTATGCTAATTATATGATAAAGATGACCATAATCCGTCCTTTGCTTGGGTCGGTACAACGTATCGGAGTGTGGATTTAAAAAACCTTTATTTTGATGTATAATACATGAAATTCTGTTGCATATTAAGAGAGTAATCTTGTTTTCAATATACTATTGTCTCGAATCGTTGGTCGCGGACACCCTTAAAATACCTACTTTAATTTTTATAGAAAATACTCAAATCGGAGACCGATCATCATGCTGTATCCACAAACGTGCTAATCTCAGCAATGACGTTCTAATATTTTCAAACACATCAGGATTGTTTCGTATTTTATTCCAGTACGATTCTATTCAGCAATTAATTTATATCCAGAACATAGGTAGCATATACAACTGCTGCAGGGCTATTTCTTTTCATTTTCATAGGTCTGAAATTTCCAAATTCTTGCATGGGAATTCAAAAACACACTGTAGCAGGGAGTACGGCGATTTGGAAAATCTTTCTTCGTACAACGAGAAGTTGTTTTTCTTTCCTAGTGGTCAATAATCATGTTCATTATAGACCGAAGGCAATAATGGATTAGAGGTGGGTAAATACAAACTTTGGAGGATATTCCATTGCTATAAATATGTCTAAAATACTCGTATTATTATTTAAAACTATTACCATCATCAGTACTAATGGAAGTATTTCAAAATGAAATTAGTGCAAAATAAACTAAAAAAACTTCCTCATTAAAAAACATCAAAACAATCCCATTTCTAATTTGTCTGTGTCAAAACTGTTAAAAAACAAATGGGTTTATTTCGTATTGAAATATTACCATTAGTAAGACAAATTTTAACACTTTTTCCTTTTCTTTTCAGTTTCCTTGTTATTTTAACAAATATTTCATATTATGAAGTTAGAAAATTCTTTTAATAGATGCAGAAGTACAGAAAATGTGATAACCTCATTTACAATAAGAATAAAAAATACTTCCAATATAAGTTAATAACTCAGGTAAGTAACCAATTACTGTAGGTACGCATCTCGGGAAATAACCAGCTCAGTTTTAAAAAATCTCTTGTCTACCTTGTGATAAATATATAATATATAATATATAATATAC